TTTGTACATGAAGATTGGAAATCGCTTTAATTTATTGATAAAAGGAAAAGAAAAGTCATTTCAATCCTCCTTATTCAATACCTTTATTACAACACAACTACCTATAGAGTTTATTAACTTACATTATGTAATAAAAGTTACGAAAAAAGGAAACAATTAAAAATCCAGTTTTTGGCAAAAACAAGAGAGAACCAAGTTAATAACTTCATGGTTTGTTTAAAAGTTTTGCAAAAGCTTTCAGAGATGGCAAGTGTAAACTTGAATTAAACTTTTCCCTTTATAATAAAACGAACTAGTACACGTGTATCCCGTTTTACCCCCTTAGGGGTTGAATTTTGCAAAATCCCATCTTAGTGAAGACCTACGTTCTAAAAGGAACCCCCATGCAAAATTTGAAACTCCTAGCTCTTGTAGTTTCTGAGATTTCGTGATGAGTCAGTGAGTCAGGCAGTGAGTGACCTTTCGCTTTTAAAGATATAGATTAAAGTGTGTAAATCTGAGTGCTGCATTTTATTCATGTAATCACTACTTAAGTATTTACTAGTAAGTTGTAATAAGGAAGAAATACTCGATCGAAGCAACGCCATTCCAGCTTCGCTTCTGTACAAGGCGAAGCGCGAAGGAAGCGCCGCGTGCGCAGCATATTTCCGTGTAATCTGACGTGTGCAAGCTAGACTTATTTAGTCACTAGATGATTACTACGTAATCAGTTTGAGGTATTTAGTGGATTGGATGATTGCTGTCGTATTTAAAAAGTAACTTACTATTGACGTTATGAAACCGCGCTCAAAAGTGAATCAAACGACAGAATATTAATGTACTTCGTATCAAACTAGCTAGTATCAAACATGAGATTGATAGTTCAAAATTTGTACCAACAACAAATTATACTTTTCTGTCACAATTCTTGACTTTGTAACTGAATAAGAAAGCCTTCAATCCACAAACTTTTGAACGGACATCTTTTGGGCAAGCTTGCTCTATTATAAAACTAATAACACCAAGTAATATTGCTTAAACTTCTATTATTACAAACATGTAATAACAAAAAGATCGTGTTTCCTGTTAGATCAATTCAAATCCAGCTATGAATGCAATTAAAACAAAAACTATATGCATTATATATGCATTAGTGATCTTAAAAACTGTATTACGAGTATTCTGGCATTTTGACTCGATCCAACATCAACAAAACATAGAAAACAAACGTTTTTGTATTCAGATTCCTCACAAAACAAAGATCAAAACCAGTTTTGTTCAAATGCTCTGGACCTCGACTCTACGCCATTTTCGTAACAAAAACAAGAATTGAATGCAAAGTGCAATATTTATCACGCATCGCTGTATGTAAATGTTTGAACTCTGCGAAATAAAAACAATGTGGGTATCTGACCACAAGGTTCATATGTCATCGATAATAATATTATTAAAAATAATAAATACTTAAATAAGCTTATAAACAGCTGGCTGCTTAAGTAGGTACTTTAGGATGAACAGTATAATTACAGGGAGAAAGATTTCTTCCTAAAGAACTACATACATTTAAGAAGGAAGGTTGTATGTTTACTTTAAAAGTAGAGTGCCTAAATCATACGTCTGGTTCTGTCTAGCATGTTTTATAAAAATCAAACATATTTATTAGATATTTTAATGAATTTTCATATAACTACGCATTTTATCTTCCCTTTAAAACCTTCTTTTACTAGTTTGTTAATAAAATTCTTATATTAAAACGCTCCCGCCCCGCTCATACCAACTACCGCAATTGTGATCCGGTCACGCGCATTTTGATCTGCAAGCGCCCGTGGTGGTCACGCTTCAGGTCACGCCACTGCCTCTACATCCCGCTGTACAGTGCGCCTCAATAGAACTGAGCAAAAATCGCCAAAACAGCTCAAGAAAATACTCCTTTTACAAATAAAATGTAACAGTTATTGGCTTAATGTGAACGGCATATTCGACACACCCTGAATCTGCCTGATAAAGGTGAAAGTCATCCAGAATGATGCAAGCCCCTTTCATTTCAATCAGTTACACAAAATTGATATAAGAAAGGGGTAAAACGAGAAGCTTTAAGATTAACGATACTTGCTTAAGGCGATAGGTGAGGCAAAACTGCAAAATAGACCTCTCTTTGAATCCCTACTCCTCCTAAATGGATGATCCAAACAATAAAAAAAAATATGTGTGAGATGTATAATATCTTAAACTAAAAAATTGTTGTTCGTTTTTTTTGTTACAACTATTAGTTTTGACAGGAAAAATTCTTAACTTTCTTCTAATTTCACCAAAGAAATTTCCTACTACTCCTAAACGGCNAGAATGAGGATCAGTACTGTTGTAGAAAATTCAATAAAACTAGTATCTACGTTAATCTTTAAGACATAAGAAAGATATATCTTTTTGAATTATCCAAATCGGACCATTACTTACGAAGATATTAAGTAATAAACATAGGCCGTTTTTGCCGCTAAAAGTCAACGTACGCAGGACCGCGTGACGTCATTATATCCGAATCGAGCGCAGCCGGCGTACTATTGGGATGGAAAATATTTTTTTCCAGCTAAACTATCAGTTTTAGAAAAAACTTTTTATAACATTTATTCATCAAAATAAAGTGACCTCTCGACCAGTAATTTTTAAAAATAAAAATTATGAAAAATAAGTATCGCTATGTCCAAAAACCACATTTTTATAGTATTCGATAGAATGCGGAGACGCGGTTGGGGCGAGCGTAACTTTATGATTGTTTGTATTGAACATAATATGAGTGCTAATACCCAGTTTCTATAGCCTGGGGGGAGGGGCAAGCCTTACCCAGCTTCTGGCCTTGGTAAGAGGGGGGGAGAGGCATGTCATACCCAGTTTCTGGTCTTGGGGGTTAGTCATACCTAGCTTCTGGCCGAGGGGGAGTCATACCTAGCATATGCTTATGGTTACCTATCGATAGCTTACTTTATTCTGATGAATAAATGTCATTACAAGTTTTTCTCTAAAACTGATAGTTTGGCTAGAAAAAAATATTTTCTATCCACGCAGTACGCCGGCAGCGTTCGGATCGGATATAGTGACGTCATCGGTCCCGCGCCGGGCGGTCAGTGAACTTTTTTAGTAATTTGGCCATAACTTCGTCAATTTTTGTCGTAGAACAAAAATTTTTGGACTGTATATTAAGGATTTCTTAGACCTATAAATCTGCATTCACAGCTAAAAATCGAAATGATCCTCATTGGCAGCGCTTCGCATCTGTATTCTGAGCGCACTTTGGTATCGGGCAGAAGCGCGGGCGCGCGGCGAGAGGCGCGTTGTCTCGCTCTAATGCTCAAGGTCGTTCGGCCATGTAATCGCCTTAAGTGAAGCAGCAAATCGAACGCACAGTGTTGAATAGAGTTCTGTGATTGGTTCATGTACCTACGTCCATGCGCACTGTGAGACCTCATAGTAATGATTGTGAATACGGGCATAAATCCAGTACTGATCACTTAATAAGAGAAGATTTTTGACAAAATCATTTGTTAGAGTGGTTGCCGAATTTTTTTTAAGCTGCCTGTACAATCTCATTGTATAGATTTCACCTGCTGATTGAATGTACGTCGACGATTGAGATAAAATCAACGTCAATCAACAAGAATAGAGCTAGCAGAAATTAAATGAAGTGACACACTGAATGATGTAATATTTAATTAAGTAATGCTCAAACATAAATATCAGCACGAATAAAAATATCAATATGCCAGGTGTTGAATGCATCTTGTCTCTCTCTACCAATCAAAACTATTAAATAATCTTAAAAATCAGACTAATTCTTCTGTATAATATAACCGTTAAATCAATTATGTAACTGTTACGTTACGTGTAACACAATGTAATAATGACCATAAATAAAATGTAACACGCGGAATACAATATTATGTGTTTTTTTAGATACAAGTTCCAGTTATGTTTCGTTTAATGACTCTTGACTAAACAAAAAAGTACGAGGTCACATAAAAAGTTACTAGTTTTATTGCTAATATCAATTTTATGATTATTATCAATTTTATTTGTAAAAATAATGTAAACAGCGATTTAAAAATAAAAGAATCATATAGCGCAATAATTTGAAATTCGATCACTTTTTTCTTACTTTTTTTTTACCAGCCAGTAGTAATATTGTCTATGTCCTCGAATATGTTTTTAGAAACAACGCAATGACATCGAAAATCACAGCAACCATATTATTTCTCTGTGGTTAGAGTCATGGAACTAATCCTGCTCAGTTTACCTTCACCGTAATTTGGGCTCATTAGACTGGATTTAAGTTTAACGAACCATTGAGCATAATTTGTGAATTGCTGTCATTTGCGGTGGGTAGAGCTTTCGTTTGAAATTACAGTTGTTAGAATGTAGAGACTGGTTTTATATCATCACTAGCTAACCCGGCGAACTTTGTTCCGCCTTAATGGCAATAAATAAGCAGACTTTTTTTTTTAATTTCGAACGGGATAAAAAGTATCCTATGTCCTTCTCCTGGCTCTAAACTACCTCCCTGACAATTTTCAGCTGAATCGGTTCAGCCGTTCTTGAGTTATAAGTGGTGTAACTAACACGACTTTCTTTTATATATATAGATTTTGTACATTTTAATTAACTGCGTCCATTTTTGAAAAGTTACTGTTACAAATTTATGTTATTCGTTTTTTATAATCGACAATATACATTATTTATCTATTAGTTTGCTATCGTCTAGAATGCTGTTTTATTTTTAGTCTTTGATTGAGTTGTTACAAAGTAAGGAATGTAATTTTAAGTGTATTGCATTATTAATTAAGTTAATATCGATCAAATGGTTTTCATTTGTTGTTGAGATGATGCTTAATGTACCGCAAATGGTTCAAAATATTTATTATTGTGTCGTTAGCAAAAAAAACTGTATAAAGTTTTATTTCGTTTAATTTTCAAAATGGTTACAGCAGGACAAATAAAAAAAAACACATTACTAACCGTATTTTCCTCCGCAGGCTCTCAAAGATCGCCGGAACAACTTCTTGCGTCGCACCAAAGCGACCGCTCCACCAGACACCACAGACACAGAAACTGAGACCACAGACAATGTAGAGACCACCACGAGCATAAGCAAGTTCACCAGGCGCGGCGGTTCCAAATTCAAGAGCCGAAAGGAAACCGAAAAGGCGCGAATTGAGAAACCGGCGAAGAGTAACCGGACCGACGAGCGGCGACCGACCGCTTCGAGGACCAGTGAGCGACCGACGCGAACGTTCGTGCGGAGAAGGCCTGGTGGGGCGAACTGTGAGTAGGGCTGCCGCCTTTTGTTTTTAACTTTTAGCCGGCTGTGCAATAAGTGGTCATGGTTTTATTTACAGAAAATCGAGTGAGGAGTTTGTTATGTGATTGACGTGTTATTGATTTCAGAATAGGGTCACAAGTATATTGATTGTAGGTTTTACAGGATTTCCTAAATATTCACAAAAAGCTAGTTACGAAGCTGCAAATTGAATTCGTTTAGGTTTGCCAAATATGAACCAAGTCTAATACCAAACTAAATTAGATTGTACTACACTTGTTCAGATAAATCCCTCTCACCGTTTAAGTATTTCGAAGTAGGTAACATCCGTGCGAAATTCCGCAAATTGGCATACAAGCCAGACGCTTGCGCAACCAACTGGAAGTACTTTCGTAAGAGTCGTTTAAATTGTTTTTAATTTTCACGATACACGAAGCAGCTGCCAATGTGTTGAAAATATTTTTCGTCGATTTATGATTTAATTAACTTCGTTAGCTCTTTCAATCTGAAGCTGAACACTGTTACATACTACTTCATTTATTTCTTATAATTCGTTATTATTTTAACAACTTGATACTTACAATGCAATTATTTTTCTTGTAATATTACTTTGATAAAATTATACATGATCAGTTCCAACATATTAAAACAATATCTTTGGAAATCATCAACAATTAAGTTACTGTATTTAGTAACTGACAAGTGCCAGCCCTACAGAGTCCGGTTTTCGCGCCAAACAGGCATTAGGCCTATCGCGGTCTATACTCTATGGAAACCGAGGGAAATCGCTAGTCTTGCCTGAACTTGTCCGTTTGAAAGTTAAGGTCAGCTGGACTGGGTCTGGATGATTTTAAAAATATAACGTAGCGCCTCTGTTAACTCTAGAAATAGGCTATGGCAAAAATCGGCGAATTTTTTTTTAAGCATTGAAACCTGCTCTAGGTAAAAAAAATGTTGATTCTACTTCCTATATTTTTTTAAATTATTTTTCAAACATTACTCATTTTGATTAAACACTTTATTTTTTAACTGTACGGAAAACTTGTATTTCTTATTCTTAGCACAAAATAAGTTTCTCTACTAATAATGACTGACAATTAATTGAAAAAAGTATTTTTGGATGTTCTTATTTTATTTTTTCACAAGTTTCATTAATCACACAAATAACGTATTCATATTCATATTCATTTATTTGCTCACTAAGTGTAGGCTGTGCAAAATATTGACGCCTTTTCCATACATCATTCATTACCCAGTTAGTTATTTACAGTTAAAAACGAATAGACAGATCAATGTTAGAATACACTGGGTGTTTTAATCCAAAATAATTCTTACCAGATTTATAACATGGGAATTACCTCTCATTTACTCGTATTGATAAATAAGTTTTCTATGCTCTACCACCCCGTATAGAAGCTCGCTTCCCACGAGAAGAAAGCTACAAGCCTGTAGGCTACGTTTCTCTCGGTTTCACTTCAATAGCTTGTAATTCGTGTAATATTATAGTGCATCGTAATCGCAGGCAATAGTCTGGAAAATCTGAGAGAACGTCAGTAGAAACGCGTAACCACAGTTAATATTACATCTATTGAAAGGAGAGACGGTTAGCAGTCCCCTTGACAAGGATGAAACACGTAAATTGGTTAAGGCACAAATTAACCAACATTGTTTATACACTTTACTTATATTTAAAGATGCGATGGCTTTTCGTCAGTCGCCAAGTTTGCTAAGACCTTTCGTTCTTAAGGAACTGTGTGTTATTGAGGAATCAAGGCGTAACTAAAATATACAGTCGACATAAATTAATGTGTGGTAAAAATAGCAAAGAAAAAATTAAAGTCTCTTTATGGACTCAAATAGTGTGCCATACATATGATTTGAGCCTTTAATTGACACGTCAAAAAAGTGTTTTTTAAGTATTTTTTTTTCTTATATGCCAGTTAATTAGTTTTTAAAACCACAAAAAGTATTAATGTCTCCGACCCAAAGAAGTTTTTTTTGTTTCGTGTGATTTGCACATATTATGGCCAGTGTCAAGTATTTATAATTTAAAAATAGTATTCAATAAAAAAAATATAAAAATAGGTAGTTTGCCATACGACCACTCTTCCAAGAGTTTAGCGACGAAGAAGAAGAAGGATATTTGATGAAATAATGAATGTTGATGGTAAATGAGATAACATAGATGATTGATTATTGAAACCTGACGCGGACTTCTTGAGAGAACTTGAAAAGTGATGTTGCACTGATTTTTTTCATTTGCCTGCTCATGCACGTTCACGAACACAGAATGGTTCATAAACTACCATTATTTATTTACTTGTATCAAGCATACAACCTCTGTGTTAATTGCGATCTCAATAGATGCTCGACCTAGACATTAAAATGCGTCGTCCTTAGTAAATATTGAACCTCTACCACACCTCTACTAAGGTCGTCCGGTAGTACGTAAGCAATAAAATGCTAGTATTCAAATGAAACAATTTATCAAACTCAATAGTTCAAAATCTATTGATAAATTATCAAGTTCATCATCATCATCATCATTTCAGCCAAATGACGTCCACTACTGGACAAAGGCCTCCCCCAAGGTTTTCCATAATGAACGGTCCTGCGCTGCCCGCATGCAAACTCTTCCCGCGACCTTTACCAGATCGTCGGTTCACCTAGTAGGAGGCCTGCCCACGCTACGTCTTCCAGCCCGTGGTCGCCACTCGAGAACTTTCCTGCCCCAACGGCCATCGTCTCTAGGAGATATGTGCCCCGCCCACTGCCACTTAATGTCGGTTACTTTGGTTCTCCTGCGGATCTTCTCATTTCTGATTCGATCAGGGAAACTCCGAGCATAGCCCGCTCCATCGCCCTTTGGGTGACCTTGAGCCTTCTTATGAGGCCCATAGTAAGCGACGAGTAAATTATCAAGTTAGGTACTAGAGTTTATTCCATAGCGCACCAACTAACGCCCATATTCACAAACAGACAAACAAACTTGAGTTCTGACGACCAAACCGTCTCTGACAAAAGTTCCCAACTAAGAAAAAGGAAATAATATCTAAGATGAGTTAAGATAAGAAGTCACAGGCAAAAAAAAAAGAAAAAACTAAGCATTAACATTGGATTTTTTAAAGGCTACCACTATTATCTTAAACAAATTACATAACTACGAGTATATCCCTGTTAACACGCGCTGTCAACCCTTTCACGAAAGCTAAATAAATAGGTATGTTATTATGTATTTTTGTGTTATGTTAAGAATACGGTTCACCAAGCGCTCCGAGCGGTCAACAGGATTAAAATAAAGCAGGACTGTAGATTACGTTTATGCCATGGGAATCCCATGCTAAAGAGAAAGGATGAAATAGTGATCGCCGAGCTAAATGTCGGCAATGAGTTGCTGGTTTTATTGGAATTGTCACTGGTTCTGAATGATACTGTAGCAACATTTTAAAAAGTTCAATAACTGTAGTTAATACTTAATTTAATTTAAGGTTTTTTGTTAAAATACCATATAATTAATAAATATAATACCTAATATTGCTAGATAAAACAATCTAACAACCCTAACCTTGGTTCTAAATCAAAACGTATTTCACAAAACATACTCATACACGCACATTGTGAACTTTCACAAACTCATAGAGTGATAACGAGCAGTGATAATGAAAACAAAGGCTACGGGATACAGCGAGTTAGCACTTACGATGCCGGTGGAAAAACCACGGCACACCAACCTTAACTCTGTTGCTCCTTAAGTAGTATGATGGTGCCATTTTGCAATAAAAATGTAGAGTCTGATGTGCAATTAACTGTATTTAGAAGCTGTTGTGGTTAGTTTAAGCTTCAAGGACATTGAAATTAAAGTTTTTCAAAAATTTTGTAGACTCCCATTTCACGATCACGAATATGTCATTTTAACCTCATCATTCGATTTAAGCTTTTTTAGTGTTTTTGTATGTATTTTTCTATTATTTTCTGAAAATTGACTTTTCAAAAGCGTTTTTTCATGTCCTAGTATTACTTTAACCCTGCCACTGCTTCGGGACAATAAATGAGTCAGATAAGTAGCTATTGTTATCAGTTGATCTCCAAAGAATGTTTAGCGCAACAATAACCGGCGGCCACGGCCATATCAATTTGCGGGTAGTTGCCAAACCCAACGTTTCAACACGCGATCATCATCAATCGCCACTGTTTGCTTTGGCAGATCATGTGGTAAGAGCAAGAGTCCTGCCTGATGGACAGACGATCTGATAAACGTTGCAGAAAACTAATAGATTGTTGAATCTATGATTAGATTGATCGATAATTAGTAGTCTCGTTAGTTGGTTCAATAGAGATCTATAAATCAATGAAGATACCTATAAACTGTTATGAAACACTTGAAGATCTATAGATAACACATAACTCGCATACAATTGTTTGTATTTGAAAGATATATAGTTCTACTAATTTTCCCACAGTCAATAAAATTTTAATTGAAATAGAAAAAGCTTTTCAATAATGTTTAATATCACCCATCATCCGCAAATCACCGTGCCCAATGACATCTTGAACATAACTTTCGGCTTCCGAGACTCATGACCTCTATGTTGCGCCAATAGAAACTGGTACTTCTATGATAAAACTCGACTCATACAGAGTTTGAACTTTCATCGTTAACATTCACTTTGCCATCTAAAATATTTTTTTACACACCACGGTTCTCAGTTGAGAGAATGCTAGGTTTATTTTCATAAAAGTCAACTTCGCAAACAAATAGAATCAAAAGAATACAAAAACTTTTCATCGACAACAACACAGGTTTTATTACAAAAAAATTGCCACTTTCCACCGACGCGAACTCTACTATGAAATACTCGTACTACATCCATTCATAAGTCTACGACACGTGGCTTTTGCTTAAATCAAAGCCAATTAGCTTTTCAATTGAGAAATTTCTCAAACAACTAAAATCAAAACATTTCGGCACCGTTCGGAATTAATAATTCGGCTTTTGAAAGAAAAA